AACAACTACAGCCCTATGCAGAATCCATCACCTCACACGTAAAAAACTCATTCCAGTTTATAGAGATCATAAAGAAACAAAGCTTACAGCCCAGCGACCTACTAGTGAGCTTCGATGTCATATCCCTCTTCACCCAAGTGCCTATCAAAGAAGCCTTGACAGCTATTCAAAAACAAATATAACCCCCCCAAACACATCTTAGATCTGACCAACCACTGCCTATCCAACACATACTTCATCTATAACGGACAAAAATACAAACAAACAGAAGGAGCACCCATGGGATCACCCCTCTCACCTGTCATTGCCAACCTCTACATGGAACACTTTGAAACCCAAGCTCTAGAAAAATCGGATCACAAACCCAAACTCTGGCTCAGATACGTAGACGACACCTTCATAATCTGGCCACATGGGAAAGAAAAACTGGACAACTTCCTCACACACCTCAACAGCCTACACCCCAAAATACAGTTCACCATGGAAACAGAAGCTAACAACCAACTTCCCTTCCTGGATGTCTTAGTCTACAAGAAATCCAATGGCTCCCTAGGACACACCATCTACCAGAAGAAAACACACACAAACCGCTATCTGCACGCTCTCTCACACCACCACCCAGCACAGATCAACTCTGTAGCCAAGACACTCATCTCCAGAACAAAACGCTTAGCTGACGAACAACACCTAAAACCCGAACTACACACTCTCACCAATGTACTAACATATATATATATATATATCCAGCATTATGCATTTCAGTTTAATTGTAGAATAAAATTGCTGCCTATGGAACCAGAACCGAAGAGTGATTTGGTAGATGGTAGGGAGAAAGGGAATAGTATGATTGGTTGAAGTATTGACATAACAGTGAGATATCAATTTATAACAGATGTTCTATTCTGTAGGAGAACCAGACGGTCCTACTAGGATCTAACGGGCCTGGCTACTGTGAAATTCTATGCATCAAGGTTTGGTGATGGCACAATTTTAGAAAGGAGATTAGGCTAATGTATGCAAAGCCTGTTGATTAGGCTAATGTATGTAAAGACGTTTGGGATGGTTTTTCTAGTCAGAAAAGCTCTGCATCTAATACAGTTGGCATAGCACATGGATGGGAAGAGCCAACTGGTGATTCTGTCCTGCTTACGAATTTCCCAGAGGTATCTGATTGGCCTCCGATAAAGAAATAGGATGCACCTTTGATTTGATCCAGCAGGACACTCTGGAAATCAACTCTGACTGTTCTTTGGAAGGACAGATACTGAAGCTCAAATACTTCGGCCACCTAATGAGAAGAGAAGACTCATTGCAAAAGACCCTGATGATGGTAAAGATTGAAGGCAAAAGGAGAAGGTGATGGCAGAAGATGAGATGGTTAGATAGTATCATCTACGCAGTGAACATGAATTTGGGCAGACTCGGGGAGACAGTAGAGGACAGGGGGGCCTGATGTGCTATGGTCCATGGAGTTGTAAAGAGTCAGATACAACTTAATGATTGTACAACCACAACAGAGTTTATTGAATTAATCACCATTAGCCAAAGTAACCAAAGGCATTTAGCCATACAGCATGATTGATAAATCATGTCAGCTGGATTCACTCAATATTCTAAAGCTCAAGGAAACATATCAGCCCTCTTTTTTTGCCTAGATTTTTCTCTGTCTCTTTCATTTGCATGATAGGAAGTAAGATTTTGTTGGATCTTGTGCTAGATGTCTATCATATCTCCCTCACATTCTAGGAGTCATGTCTATTAAACTGTTGTTTGATCGATTATGTGCCATCAAGTTGTTTTTGATTCCTAGTGACAATATAGATTTTTCTCCATGATGATCTGCCTGAACCTAGTTTCTCAGGTCTTCCAGTTGTGCACTCATCACCATGATAACTGAGTCCATCTACTGTGCTGGTGATTGTCCTCTTTTTCTCTTTCCTTCCAGCATTAGCATTTTCTCCAGAGAACTAGGTTTTCAAATAATGTTTCTGAAGTAGGATAATTTGAGCCTGGTCATTTGTGGCTTGAATGAGAACTCTGGGTTATTTGTTTAATGATTCACTTGTTTATTTTCTTGACTCCTCATGGTATTCTCAGGAGTTTTTTGTTGTTGCCTTTAAAACTCAAGCATCCAAGTTGGTGTGAGCTGAAAAGAAAGCCTATGATCTGAATTTGGGAAAATAATACTAATTTAGCAAAGTGGCTTTTTCACTCCCCTCTCCAACAGTATGAACCATAACTTCAGGCAAAGTGAAAAGTGTGTATGTGTGGAGGGGGGAGTTCAAGTCTTTATATGGAGTTCAGATACGGGTGATACATTTAATACATGTTAATGTGTCAGAAAGCAACAATAAAAAACATTGATTAGACATGAGAAAAGACAGACATTCTTATTGCTTCTTCTCCTTTCCCATCCAGCTTTGTTTCTTTAACACTTGCAACATTCAAGGACTCCAAAACATGGCCTTATTGTTTAGATTATGAATAAGCTAGTATTTGCATGTAAATAAAAAAAATGGCTTTTCCAAAAGGAAAACACTGTTTCCTAAACATCAAAAGGACACATGATGTCATGCTAAAATGCTGATATTGCCGTTATTTACAAGGTAATAATGAAGTCTAAAATTCTAGGTAACACCTGTGGTCAAAAGCATCAATACTGTTATCCTACCTGTGTACAAGAGGAACATAATTTTATATTTAATGTTTATAGAATTTTTTTTCTTCAGCGCCTTTCTTTGAAGGCAGAAATTATTTTAAGCTCTTGTCAAAATTAAATCTGTGTCTAACTGACATTTTGAGAGTTCTACTGTGTTCCAGTGATGAAAGTTTGAGTCAACAAGAAAAAGCATTAAGCTGATAAGCCTATAACATGGATTCTTAATTTATATGTGTGTTATATCTGAAGTGGAAATAATTAGGTAAATATGCTGTGAGGATATATATTTGATTATAGTACATATTCTAAGAAAAGCCCACCTGTGATCAGTTTTTGTGTCTGCAGTTAGGCAAATAAGTAATGGACATTAGATTCTTATTTGGGAAAAATAGGTTGAAATATGTGGAGATGGCATTGTTCCTTCTGTTTTCTTGGTCATAAGTATAGTCCTGCTCTTGCATCTCATTTTGGAGAGCTGCACATTGACTAAAGTGAGTGGATTGCATCTAATGGGGAAAAGGAAGGCTTTAGAAATGGGTGAAAAATTACAGGGGCTGTCAGAAGTTCAACTTAGATTTTCCAGCATTACTGTTTAGCAAATTTACTGTTTAGTAAATCAGCATACTGCTGAGAGCTCTTGTCAGAGGGACCAGCTGGTCCTTGGCATGGAGTTTTTGAAATGAGTCCAAGAGTTGCATATGGTCTGAGGACAAGTTGCCTATCTCTTCTCGGTGGAGTTTAGGCTGGGCTGTTTTTCAGTCAGTCTTTCTACTCCAGCCAAGCAAGCAAAATCTGTCCAAAAATAAGGATCAGTGGAGGTGATAGCCAGTTCAGCACTGCTTTTTGAATGTTCTCCAGTTGCCTTTGGCCATCCATTTTTGTCTCTTTCCAAGTGACGTGGAAGTCAGTGATTTTCTCCCCTTCCTTGTTGATATTTCTCTCTTTTTTTCTTTTTCTTTCTGCTGGTCTGACCAGATCAATGAGGGAGAATATTTGTAGCTCAGGGTTGAAATCAAGGGTCCTTGGTGTTCTCTGACCTTGATTGTTTTCCTGCAGATGTTTCATTATCCAAACTAGGTAACATCCTCGGTGCATCACTTCAAATCTTCTTTTCATTTAGGAGCTGCTGGGATGTTCTCTGCCTTTTTAAAAATAACTTCATTGTTGGAACATAGCCTGATTATTTATTTGTTTGCTAGATTTATATCCTGCTTTTAATTCAGGAGTCCAGTGCAGCACACATATATACATCTTCCTCCTGCTTTCCCCTACAACAGCCTTGTAGGATAGGCTGGCCAGAGAGAGATGGAATGGTCCAGAGTCATCCAGTAAGCTCTTACGGCTGAGGGTAGACTAGAATCTGAGCCTTGGCAATGCCAGACAGCGTCTTAACCACCATATTGAGGACAACATATGGCAAATAGAATAATAGGAGCTTGCTGTCTGGACTAAAAATATGATTTTTTTAAAAAAAAACATTAAATATGATGTTACTGGTTTTCTAGTTACCTCATACTTCTAGCAGAAATATAAGATTCCACTAATTCCTCTATTTTACAGGTAGTCCTCAACTTATGATCATAATTGAGCCCAAAATTTCAGTTGCTAAGCAAGACAGTTGTTAAGTGAGTTTTGTCCCATTTAATGACCTTTGTTGCCACAGTTGTTAAGTGAATCACGGCAATTGTTAAGTTAGTAATACAGTTGTTAAGTTCATCTGGCTTTCCCATTGACTTTGTTTGTCAGGAAGGTCACAGAAGATGATCTCATGATCCTGGGACACTGAAACTGTCATCAATGTGAATCAGTTAACAAGTGTCCAAATTTTGATCACATGACCATGAGGCTGCTGCAACAATTGTAAATGGAAAAAATTGGCCATAAGTCACTTTTTTTTCAGTGCTGTTATAATTTTGAACAATCACTAAATGAATGGTTGTAAGTAGAGGACTACCTGTATAGAAAACTTCACAATGCGAGAATGTGGAAATGGCTGTAATCTTTTAGAAATTTATTTGGAAAAAAGTCTTACAGTATATAGCTCCTATTGGGACATTTGCTTCTGAGTAAAACACATGCAAATGTGTTATAAATCTGTTTAATTAAACTATACCAATATTGAATATTAATCATAGCAGCATAGGAAAGGCACAAAAAAAACGTCATCAAAAGCAATGTTAAATTGTATAATGGTACAGAACAAAACTGAGAGGAAAGTGAATAAAATACTCATTTTTGCAAAGGCATATTAAATATAAATAATGGTAGCTTGCAGAATCTGGGCATGTTCTTTAGGTATTTTAAAATTTAATGAACTGCTTTATTTTTTTTTCCAACACAGATAAATACAAATGACATTACAAGATTTTCTGATTTCCCACTATCCAGGAAAACTCTGAAAGGTAAGAATGGAATCCTTGAAGATAAAAAAGTCCTCAAATTGAAAATTCTGTTTTATTTGTTGAATGCTGAATCTTGAGGTTATGTCTTCTGTGTATCATCAGGCTTACAGGAAGCTCAGTATCGCATGGTGACTGAAATCCAGAAGCAGACCATAGGTTTGGCATTGCAGGGTAAAGATGTGTTGGGAGCTGCCAAGACAGGATCCGGCAAAACGTTGGCTTTCATTGTACCTGTAAGTAGGGAAATACTTGTTGTATATCATCATATAAGCTAATAATGCATCTTATTTGTATTAATGGATGAGTTAGGAATCACTGAAGGATTCATTGTCTTGGCCTACGATAAGGAAGACTCTGGCAAGTAAGAATTAGTTATCCGGCTATTTCAGACCTTGTAGATTGTTCTGATCTGTGGTTCCGGGCTAGGATGGGCAACAAAATTATGGGAGTTACAATTCAGCGTATCTACAGAGTTGGGAAAGGTTGCTCTAAATAGAAACCTTTATTCAAACAGCAATACCAATAGCATTTAAGCATATATACTGCCCTGTAATGCTTTATAGCACTCTCTGGACAGTTTAAAATGTAAAAGCATTGCCCCCCAACAATCTGGGTCCTCATTTTACTGACCTCAGAAGGATGGAAGGCTGAGTCAACCTTGAGCACTGTCGGGATCGAACTCCAGGCTGTGGTCAGAGTTTGCCTGCAATACTGCACTTTAACCACTGCGGCAATGGCGTTCTAATAATTCATCACGCTCATAAATTGCTTATTTTTGCTTGTATCATGTGATACAAACTGCATAAATCCATTTTTAAAATGTTCAACATTTATGTATTGCCTACTTTTCAAACTGTAACCAATAGATGTATAAATAATATATAGCTTTAAATAATAAAACCTAATAATATCAAAGCATCAAAATTATAAAGTGATATGTTGTAGTGTTTGATTGATAAGCTTAGCACTGGCCTTTTTGTGGGAATTTAAAACGGCTTAGACTTTCCTAGATTGGGGGATTCTGGTCATAATCACTAGTGCCCTAATAATTCCCTGATTGGACTATAGCAATGCACTATACATTAACTTACCCTTGAAAAATTTGGGACCCTTCAGCCGGTGCAGAAAACGGTGACACGGGCAGTTTTGTGTGTTTCTGGAACAGCACATATTACACCTCTGCTCCTGAAGCTCCATTGGTTGCCAATTTGCTTCTAGGACCAAATCAAGATGCTGGCTTTAGCCTTAAAGCCTATAATGGCATGGAACTGGCTTATCTGAGTCACTGCCCATCCCATCAGGTCATGTAGAGGGGAGATCTTATAGATATGCTGTGAATTTGGTCTGCTAAGGAACTACAGTATGTCCAGTCCCAGAAGATGGGCCTTCTTAGCCGTGGTTGCCCACCTTATGAAACATCCTCACTCCCCATTCCCGGTTAGTGCCATTCCTGTTAATATCTCAGAAATTCATTAAGAACTGACTTTGTCATCAGGGTACCCAAGGAGACTAATGAAATATTGAGGTTAACATTTGCTGTCTCTTATGTTTTATATATTTTAACAAAGACTGTTCTTAATGACTGCTGAAGATATGATGCACTTGAAAAAAAATATTTAGGACCTGTCCTTGAAGTAATGACTGTTGCTCCATGTGATCACATTTTGCGTGCTTGGCAACCAGCTTGCATTTACGACCAATTGCAGCATCTACCAGGCACATGACTTTTGCTGTTTTCCAGCAAAAAAAGATGCCCATTGGATAAAATGGATTTGGACTTAACAATCAGATGATTTGTTTAAGAAGTGCATCATTCGCTTAACTGCAGTGACTTGCTTAATGCATGCCACAAAAACGGTCGTAAAATAGAGTCTGGTCACATGGTGACTCAGTGTAAACTGCAATGATTTGTGACCAAAATTGTGATCATAAATCAGTTTTTTAATTAATTCTTTTATGCTGCCCAGAATAGTTATTGGTGAGATTTTTGTGAGCCCACATAAATTTGATACATAAACAAGCAAGCTTTGTAATTGTCAGGCAGGTGCATTTTCCTTCTAAAGAGACTGAATTGGGCAGATGATATGTTCTGCCTTGTCAAGCTGCAGGAGCGATGCCATTTTATTTGATGAGTGTTTTAATGCACAAGAAGCATGTCTTGAACATCTATTCATTGGAAATAGATACCTGTGGATGCATAGTCCATGTGCTAAAGCCCTTTCTCCAGCAAAGTGATGCGGCTGCAGGGCTTTTTAGAAGTCAGGAGCCCCATTGTTTGCAAAGGAGAGTTTCACTGCAGAGATTTTTGAAGTGAGTTATTGCTTCAAAAGTTTGCCTTAGAAGGGAATGTTGTTACTGGTTGCAGGTTAATAATGAAAAAGGAGAGGAGGAGAGCATCTGATAGAATTTCTAACCAGTATTTTTTAACTCTTCAGGCTCTAGAAATCTTATACCGCCAACAGTGGACTGCCATGGATGAACTGGGTGTTTTGATAATATCTCCTACCAGAGAATTGGCTTACCAGACGTTTGAAGTCCTGCGTAAAGTGGGGAAAAATCATGAATTTTCTGCAGGTCTAATCATTGGTGGAAAGGTAGGCTCTCCTTTTAAAAAATAATTTATTAGAGCAGTGGTTCTCAACCTTTTTAATGTTGTAAGTCAAGGACTACCCAACCTGTCGTAAGTCGAGGACTTCCCCTGCCTGGGAGCGCCGCGCATGCGTGGTGCCGCCCCCTGCGCCGGCTGAGGCATAGCTGGCAAGCGGCAGAGATGGCGCAGGGCGACCACCGGCTAGGCCACCAGCTGGCCCAGCCCAAGGGAGGTAAGGCACCCACTGGGCCCCACACACGCCAGCAACCCTCCCTGCGCCCGCCGGCCTCCCACCCCTGGCCCTCTTTTACTTACATTTTTAGTAGTTGCTCAGCAGGGAGGGGTGGAAACTTCCAGACAGCTCGCCTTCGCTGCAGACAACTTGCAGCACCGTTTGCATAATGGGACTTTTGGCGGGCTCAGCAGGGCAGAGACAGCCTGGACAATTCCTATTGGCTTTTGAAAGCCAATAGAATTAGACTCTATTCAAGAGAGTCTATTCTATTGGCTTTCGAAAGCCAATAGAATAAAAGGGAGTAGAACAGCCAAGGAAAAGGGGAAAAAATGGCGGACTGCGTTGTTTGGTGACCCCCGTGAAATGGTTGTTCGACCCCAATGGGGTCCCAACCCACAGGTTGAGAACCGCTGTATTAGAGCCAAGGCGCTCTCTCTTCCTGTCTCTCCCTGTCCCTCCCCCCCTCTCTCTGTGTCACTCTCTCTCTGTCACTCTCTCCAACCCTGAGGCAGGAGTCAGTCTTGCTATTTCTATCCTACTATACTATGCTATGCTATGCCATACTATTTATCTTTTTGCGTTAAGTTGAGGAAGTGTTGGTTGTGTTCCAGGATTCATTTTAGATAACAATAACAAAAGCAAGATTGGTAGGTGATACTTTCCCTGTTGGTCCACAAACCATCTCTAACATAACCCCCCACCCCCCATCAGGAACTTAAGCCAGCCAGCCGAGACAGGTTTTGATGCACTTCTGGAAGGCCAAAAGTGTGGTAGCAGGCAGCAAAGGCTAGAAGCACCAGGTTAGAAAGCAGGAGACCATTAGTTCAAGTTCTGCCTTAGATATAAAAGCCATTGGGTGACTTTGGGCCAGTTACTCTGTCCTGACCCAATTCACCCCATAGAGTTGTTGTGCGGAAAATAGGAGGAGGAAGGGATATGTTCTCGCCTTGAGTTATTTTTAAAAATAAAGGCGGGATACAAATAAATGAAATAAAATAGCAGAGCCACTGCAGAAAAACCCCACTTCCTCACAACATAAGAGAACACTCCAAAATCTGTTTATAATGCATTATTAAAATAAGGAATTTGTCCAATCAGTGATATATTACTTATCTGTAGATAGAAATTTCAATAAAAGCAGGAACCTTGTGCAACATACAGTATCTAAACATCTCCCATTAGCCACTGTTAATGTAAGTAATTGAGGTTGGTGAGATAATAATTGACTGAGCTGGGATCATTTCAGATTTCATAAACCATTGTACAATCACTTTACAAGTGTTATTCTTTTCCCAAATAAATATTTTTGTTTGTGATCTGCCAGTGGTTTGTGGAGAAATTGGGACGTTGTACTCACAGAAATTATCACAAACCGAAGGCTATTTCATCTTCAGCATTTTGTGTGTGTGTGTGTAATTTGTATGCAGATGTACATTTCTGTGTTATTGAAAAATGGAGAAAATTCTGATCTTTTCTGCGAGGTGGTGTGCCATGCTCAAAGTGGCTTTGTCTGTGTGAATGCTCTTTGTGAAACTATGCATCCTAAATTCCCAACCAACCTGCTTTTTCAGGACTTGAAACAAGAATCAAGCAAAATCCATAATATGAATATCCTCATTTGTACTCCTGGTCGTCTTTTACAACACATGGATGAAACCTCGTATTTCCATGCCTCCAATCTTCAAATGCTGAGTAAGTATAAAATATTAGTTGGTAGCCTCTGATCTTGTATCTGTTCAGTATGAATTCTGATCTGGAGCTTTGCTTGAAATCTTAATAGGAATGCTACTGCCTTTTAACCTTAAACTTTGTATGGAACTGATCCATGTATATTGCTCTGGGCAATTTACAGCATGCAGAAAATATTTCTTAAAATGGAAGTAAAGGGAAGTATATACTTGTTCAAACTTCCTGGACAAGACTCCTAAATGTCTTAATGTTTTAAAATTTAAAGAATTGTGTAGGTGGTTGCATAGAAATAAGAACAACACTAATGTTGAATGCACAAGTCTGTGGTGTTATGTGCATGTGGGACAGAGCCCAATAGATGTTTACAAGCACCTCAGCACATTTGGATGATATGTAGGGAACTCTCAACTATATAATGTGAAACATCCAACTGGTGGGATCCAGGAAGAGAACCTTCTCTGCCACTTCCCCTGCACTGTGGAAATCTTGCTCTCATAGGTGAGGAAAGCCCCTGATCTCTCGGCCTTTCACAAAAGTGTTAGCTGTGTAACCTTGTGTGGGAGACACAGTGGCCCGCACAACCATGGGGCTGGCCAGCTCCACGAGAACACCCCCCTCCCACTGCCTGAATTAACAACTGTTAATCCTTCTTTTGGAATTCTTCACCTTCTGAAGTTTTTATAATATTTTTATAATTTTAAAACTTTTAATACTAAATTATTCTGATTTTAATGTTTAATTTTATTGATGATATTATACACCAGTCAGATGGGAGATGGGCGGTTACGAAATATAAAGAATAAACAAACAAACAAACAAAGTGTTTTATTTAATCACTAAAACTTTTTTTAAAAAAAACTCTGATTTCCCCCAACCTGTTTTTCTCATTCTAGTCCTTGATGAAGCTGATAGAATTCTGGACATGGGCTTCGCTGATACCATGAATGCAATTATAGAGAACCTTCCCAAAAAACGGCAGACCCTGCTTTTCTCAGCCACGCAGACCAAATCTGTGAAGGACCTTGCTCGGTTGAGCTTGAAGGATCCAGAATACATCTGGGTGCATGAAAAAGCAAAGTTCAGGTTGGAGCTCAGCTTATGTAGCCTTTAAAGAAATATGAGTGTTTTTGGTACTGAATTGTTTTTCTCCATTCGGAACCTACTTGTTGCGTGGGGTAGTCTGGGAGTTTCCAGTCTTGGTCTTAGAATAAAGCAGGCCAGTAAATTGGAGGGGCACATCCAGGATGTCTTTGTTTCAGTACTTGCTTTTTCATTTCAACAACCGTGTATACAAGAAATCACTGTAATGTATAACTTTGGGACCTTGGGCAGAGAGCTGCAAGCTAAAGTAAATGTATAAAATAGTTGATTTAAAAGAGACAAGACCGACTAACAGTGCGACTATTGGAAGCAGCCCAGGTAATATTTGATTTTATCTCTAAGTCTTTATTTCTCAAAGGTTTGGGATTGACTATACCAGTGGTTCTCAACCTTTTTAATGCCGCGACCCCCAACCGGTTGTAAGTCAAGGACTACTCAACCCGTTGTAAGTCGAGGATTACTCAACTGGTGCAGCACCGTTTGCAGAATGGGACTTTTGGCGGGCTCAGCAGGGCAGAGACAGCCTGGACAATTCCTATTGGCTTTTGAAAGCCAATAGAATTAGACTCTATTCAAGAGAGTCTATTCTATTAGCTTTCAAAAGCCAATAGAGTAAAAGGGAGTAGCACAGCTAAGAAAAAGGGGAAAAAAATGGCGGACTGCGTTGTTTGGCGACCCCTGTGAAATGGTCGTTCGACCCCAAATGGGGTCCTGACCCACAGGTTGAGAACCACTGGACTAGACAATCTGATGTCCAATTACTAGATAGCTTCCAGCAGTTGAATTAAAAAGGATTGCAATAGCAGACAACATAATGTAGAGTTCTGTGTGTGTGTTTTTAAGATTACAACTTGAACAAATTTTCTGGCAAGCTTTTTCAAGTTCCTCAGGTCCTGTGAATGCTGTCCTTATGGCTTGTCCTGTAAGAGGATTGACTTCTGGGGTGAACAAGTTATCTTTTCATTTCCCACTTCCTTGCTCTGAACTTTAGCTTGGATTAGGGAGCAGCAGTTCCCACTTATTCCCTTTTTTTGGTTCCAAAATATATTATACAGTTGCCCATCTCAAAAAACACCACCACGCATACAAATGTAATAACAATTAAAAACCAAATGCTCAGACAAAAAAAAGAAAGATAGTGAGGGTAAAACAGTAAAATTGACATCATATAACCACCTTGCATACTCCACTGGACCTCCGAGGTCGATGAAAGAACACATTTTAAGGGACTTCTGAAAGGCTAACAGGGATAGAGCTAACCTTACCTGAGCTGGTGGAATGAGACAGCTCGCCATAGCCAACTTGCCGCCGTCAACTCGCCACAGGACAATTCAACAATTCAATTTCTTTATTTAAAATAATTTAAAAAAATATTCTAATTTTTGTCATTCACATTTCATTTTGTCCCTCCTTTTGGCATCCTTTCTTTAATGATTCTATTCCACTATTTCTTTGATATTAGTATAGCTCTTGTCCTGTGGCGTGTTGTCCCTGCGAGTTGTCCCTGGCGAGTTGGCCATGGTGAGTTGGCCATGGCGAGTTTTCCCGCAGTGAGTTGTCCCGCAGTGAGTTGTCCCATGGCGAGTTGGCCACGGTGAGTTGGCCATGGCGAGTTGTCTCGCAGTGAGTTGGCCATGGCGAGTTGGTTGCGGTGAGTTGGCCATGGCTAGTTGTTGTAGACCTTGAAGGGGAGATGGTGTTTCAAAGAGTAGGAACCACAGCAGAAAAGATGTACCATCTGGCTCCTGCTAGATGGAGCTACTTACTAGATAGGACTTGCAGCATGCTCCTCCTCAACCTGATGGGATGGGTAGATATAACTGGGGAGAGGCGTTTCCTAAAATAACCTAGCATCAGTGATTTGAAGAACTGAATTTAATTTTAATTACATTTAAATGATAAGTGTAACTAAACAAAGTGACATTTATATTTTGCCTTGGCCCTTGAGAATAAGGTCTCTTGCAAATGCCGTGCAAAAACAAAGGATATGCCCTCTAGCTTGGAAAATGTTGGACATCTGGTTTCACTTAGATAATGCTTTGAGGCACATGTTTACTTGAACATATATTGCTTGTTTTTCGTTGTTTTTTTCCCCTCTGATGTTTTTATCTGTTATTTATTTCTCCTTCTCTGGTACTTTCAGTACTCCAGCAACTTTGGAACAGAACTACATTGTTTGTGAACTGCACCAGAAAGTCAATATGTTGTACTCTTTTCTGAAAACTCACCTGAATAAGAAGAGTATTGTATTTTTTGCAAGCTGTAAAGAGGTATTACATAATCCCATCTCCTACAATTTATAAAGAACCGTGTTCGTTGTAATTCATAAAAATCAAATCGGTAACAGGCAGGCAGGGTGTTGCATCATAAATTATCCACCAATATATTCTACGGTACAAGTAGTCCTCGACTTACAAGAGCTTGTTTAGTGACCGTTCAAAGTTAACAATGGCACTGAAAAAAGTGACCTATGTTAGTTTTTCACACATTGCCGCATCCCCATGGTCACGTTGATCAAAATTCAGACGCTTGGCAACTGACTCATATTTATGACAGTTGCAAGTGTCCCACTTGGCAAGTGTCTCATATTTATGACAGTTGCAAGCGATCACCTTTTGTGACCTTCTGACAAGCAAAGTCATTGGGGAAGCCAGATTCACTTAACAGCCATGTTACTAACTTAACAACTGCAGTGATTCTACTTAACAACTGTGGCCAGAAAGATCGTAAAATGGGGCAAAACTCATTTGACTGTCTCACTAGCAACTGTCTCACTAGCAATTTTGGGCTCGGTTGTGGTTGTAAGTCAAGGACTACCTGTAATCAGAAAGTTAGAATATTATAAAACAAGCAAAGCTGATGAAAGCATGTAAATTGTTTGGCTGCTGAATCCCTGAGGCTGGAGAGACTGTCAGGGCTATAACCTAATCACATTATTTATCAAAGTTAGCAGTTAACTTTGGCATGTAGGTAGAGGCGAGTACTCCAGCTGGACTGTTTCAGACATTTTTGTATTATATTCAGCAAAATGCATGCTTTGTTTATAAATGGACCAAACATATCGTAGCAAACATTGTCATCCAAGCATTTTATTCTATGTGAGGAAAGGAAGATGGTTTTCCTGATTTGGTGTCTTGTGAGTGTGGGTTTAAGTAAGCACTTGGCTTAAAAATGACATGTCTTTAGATCAAAGAGTGGGTTTATTTATAAAAAGGTTATTATTTTGGGAATAACTCCATCTAAATTGTGGCGAGATCGTTTTTTGAGATATTATGAAATTTAAAACAGCAACTCTCTTGGATGTAGCCATAAATCTAACTATAAATCTGTCCACAACTGAAAAGATTATGGTGACAAAAGGCCTGGCAATTGACTACCTTGCAAGATGCTGGGTCCAGGGGCAGAAACACATAGATTAGCTGAATTAAATGAGACTTAATGAGATTTCAGAATTGTAAATTCTAATCATGCGCCTGGGTTTTCCATAGCATTTGTTTTTAGGAAACATAGTGGTTTGGTTTTAACTCTCATGGTAATTTTGTGAAAATTGCTGCATGATAAAAATGATATGAAAACTCCAGGAGGAAAGGATATTTTTCTGTTTTTTCCTTTGGGAGACATGAAACCTTAGCATGCCTTTTCCTCTGGATTTTTCCATTTTGCAGATCTCTGACTTTTTCCATTTGCAAAGCTTTGTATCCCTGTGTCTAGCTAGCTGAGGTAGCAAAAGTGGCTCTTCCACCTGTTTTAAAATAGTACTAAAGACTAGAGAAAGCTGCTTCTTCCTAAGCATTCAATTATATATCATCTTTTGGGATATCTTTTAACATCTCAATCTAGCCCACCACCCTGAGTTTTTGTCTTCCATGATACTGTTAACCAAGTCCGATCCTATTTAGCTTTTCTAGCTTAGCCAAGACCGGTTAGGTAATGCTGGCCTACAATGCAATATATGTGTATTATCAACTAGTCTTGCTTATAGAACTTAGCATTGAAATTATTATTGGTTTCTAGGTTCAGTACTTGTTTAGAGTATTTTGTCGCCTTCGTCCGGGTCTCCCTATACTAGCTCTTCATGGCAAACAACAACAGATGAAAAGAATGGAAGTATATCAAGATTTTTTGCGCAAGAAATCGGCAGTTCTTTTTGCTACGGATCTTGCAGCTCGTGGGCTAGGTAAATAGCTTTGCATTCCTCCACATTCAGGGGAGTTATCTAATCGGTTTGGCCCTGTTCTTGAAAATCATTTGTTAAATTAATCATTTAAGGAAGAGACCAAGGTCCAGCTTGCTGAGGCCGAGCGGAGAACATGTTCTCCAGCAACAGACCTGTGATACTAGTCTCTATGCTTTTATTGCCTGTGTCCTTTGCCTGTGTCCTCTCCTCTCCTGCTGCTTCCTCCACGGTCATGCCCCCGTTGCTTCAAGTCCTGCTGTAACTCATTCCCTGCTAAGCAAGATTCACGTGAAAATCCAGGAGGTCAGCCAAGGAAGAGGAGGAATTAGGAAAGAACAGAACCATGCGGTCCCTAATTCAGAAAGCACCCTGTCCACATTTCTATAGGTTTAGGATTTGCATTTGTTGATTTTTCCAATCTTGTATCCCCGTGTGACAGTGGATTTCAGTTTTCATAATCTGTGGTCAGGATGATCAGATTTACCTAGTGATCAAGTATTAAGTATAGTTAATTAATTTATTGACCATACCAAGACACAACAGAGTGTAAATTAACAGAAGGATAAAGTAGGCAATAAATATAGCAGGCAATAAATAAATAAAGTAGGCAATACATATAGTAAAGTATGGAACAAAGAAAATTCAGATAAGTGCATCACCTTTACTGTACATGTGACCTCAATCTGTTCTATGAAATGAGCTCTCAGCTGAATAGTTTTAATTATAAACTTGGTAATTCTCGTGACTGGCTATATATTTACAGACACCCTGTTATTGAGATTTTAATAGGTACTTTTTGTCAAGTAAAGATTCTAAATACTGGCCTTTGCTGCTGCATATAATTGGCATTCAAATAAGATGTGTACAATGCCTTTGATATCTGGAGCTAGAGATCAAGTATGGATAATTTATTTGTATTAAAAGTTAGCCGAAATACAAATTGAATTACTTCTGAGCTATACATGCATTGAAAACTGCTGGTTTAAAATCATAAATGGCCAGTTTTACTTTTCAGTTTGTAAAATGCAAATGATTTCTCTCTCTCCATACCAAATTTAAAATTATGCCCCCTTTCATTATTTAGGAAATGAAGCTTCTATTAATTTTAATTCTATCTGTCGGATATATGTAGCTAGAATATGTGATTAATTGTACTTTGTGAACAGTCTCTTTCAATGCAGTGCCAGTAAAATAGAGCTGAGTGCAAAACTCATATTGAATATGCTGCTAGCATAGAAAATATTTTTATGTGACTGGATTTCAGATTTTTTTTTTTTTTTACAGATTTCCCTGCTGTGAACTGGGTCATTCAGTTTGACTGCCCAGAAGATGCAAATACATATATTCACAGAGTTGGGAGAACAGCCAGGTATGTTCTATGAAGTGGCTTTCCCTAACTTGATGTCCTCTGGTTGTGTTTCTCCATCTTCCAGAGATAGCCATCCAAGTTAGCTAATAGTTGTGGACATTGTAGTCCCAATATGTAGAATATATTGAAGGAAGCTTTTCAGTGCTAAGGTAAAACTATACATAGATCTGAAAAAATACTAAGGTTAGACCTGTTATTACATTAGATTGGTATTTTTCAAAATGCTGGCTGGGGAATTCTGGCAGTTGAAGTCCAAACATCTTAAAATTGCCAAGTTTGAAAAACACTGCATTAGATTATGTTATTAGCTTGTGACTGGATTCATGTACTTTGTTTAACAGCAAAGATGACCAATGCTGAAAAAAAAGTAAGGAAAAGTGTGATTGGTACTTTTAAGTTTAAATAAGAGTCATCTGAAAATGGGCAGCAAATAAATTTGATTGATTTAAATAAATAAATAAACAAACAAGATGTAGTTTAAATGTCACATTTCCTCTCCCCTCTCACTGGTATTTGGCCATTATGACAGGTGACTGAATCCTTGTAAATTAGTATTTTTAATATTAGTCTAATGAACACTTTCCTTCAGTATGAAGTTTGGATTCTTTCCCCTCCTTGGTTAAATTTATGAGGGAAACAGCTTATCAGTGAAATATTTACTTATATGAAAACCCAACACAATTCAATTTCCAAGTCTCAGGACTCTCATAGGTTATTGAAGCTTAACTTCAATAAGGTTGGAATAATGTTTGGACACTGAACTGTGCATTTTCTTGGTATCTATTCTGCATATGAATTTTGATTATCATTTAACATTGTTTTTTTTTTTTTTTGCAAATGTTGTGGAAGAAGCATAAGTTAAGCCTTATTTTTGGTTCATGTTGCTGAGATCAGATTGGCTAGAGTGGATTTATAAGTGGCATACATTAGAAATGGAGAACCTTGTATTTTATTTATTAAGCTTTTAGTATTTCTGAGAGGGTAGGGTAACAATATAGATTCTCCAGAGAACTGAAAAACTAGGGTAGATATGTCAAATGTTGTGAATGATTCGACCCATACTCAAATATAGCTTTTACTTATTGTTTTATATTTTTGTAAAAAATAAACCTTCTATAAAAACTGTGATATTTGTGGTGTTTGGGTCTCTGTTCACAGCAATGAAAATTTTATTATTTTGGCTCTGGACAGTGCATGGTACAGATATGCCTTATCATTTTTTTTTTTTTTTTTGTATTTTCCAAGAAGAGCTTATTGAAGTTCACTTGGGAAATCTTGTCTATCTTCTGATGCATTATATCTGTTTTTGTTTTCTCACCTACTCAAAAATTCTGTTTGGGCAGGTTATAGATTTATATCTCTTTCCTTACAATATATTATTTTAAAACTGTTATCTCTCAGGTACCACTGCAGTTCACTATACATATTTATAAGGCGTTATATAATGTGTTATGCACTATAATAAATACAAAAAAATATTAAATCGCCGTGAGGAGAGTTTGGCCAATTTGATAATATAGTGGAGGTTTCTCTCAGGCTTACTAATAAAAACTCAGCAATAGTTCCCAAATTGTCAACTTGGCATGGCTTGATGAGGTGCTTAAGCTTGAATTCAGCTGAAAACTCATGTTCCTGAAGGCAAGATAAATGTTTTTATCTCACACTAGGTTGGAGCCAATAAAACAGTTGATTGCTTTCTATTAACATTAAAACACCCTTTAATTTAATTCCACCACTTCTTTTTCCTCTCCTTCCCACAGTGTAATGTCGTTTTTGCCTTTGGCTTTCTACTCTTGAAGCTTGGTGACTGTTGCTTGTGGACATTACTTGCCACAATGTCCTGGGAAACTTTGGTTCTCAGCTTAATTCCTGTAACATCCTTCTCCTCATTTTTCCCCTAATCATCAGTGGCAAGATGAGTTGCCCTAATGGGGTCAAGGTTAAAATTTGTTTTCTACATACCAGAATTGGAAGAGTGACACTAAAGACTGAGTAGCTTAGCTCCTGATTTAAACATTTGGACATTCCTGGAGGTGTTTTTGTGTGGCACATCTGTATTAAGGCACAGGTGGAGGAGAAATCTCCAGTTGAAGACCCAGAAGGATCAAGGCAGAGATTTGCTGAGTAAAATAGCTGGTGGAAAGGATTGAAGCTTTTAAAGAATGTTAATGAAGATAGCCTGACAAAGATGTCAGAATTCAAGACTCTCAGGAAAGAGTAGTTTTCCCCTCTTTCCAATCTCCCTCCTAGGCTACAAGCAATCCAGGAAGTGGAAATATTGAGAAACATTGCATGAGTCAGGGAGGGAAATAGATACCCTAAAAAGCTCCATTTGAAATTATCAGGGTAGAATTCTGTGAATAATTTTGTTAAACCAAGGCCACACTATCTATTCGAAATGTACAAATTATCTACCTAAAAGCACTACAGAAATAAACACTATAATTTAGAGAAAAACAGTATGTGCATCTGGAAAGTTTATGTCCTTTCTCCTACCCTCTGACAATACCTCATTTGGTCTAATTCAGAGTGAAAGGAAAGGAGGACAGTTCTCCCTGTTACTGGGTTTCAGTGGCAATTAGAGCTTCTTTCTCTGAGAACACAATGACAGGAATGAGGAGCACTTCCGGCCTCCTCCCTTCAGTCCCCATGTCTGAATGTTGTTTATTGGCTAAAGCTAGCCAATTTCAGGATTGTCTTCAACAGCATTTTCCAGTATAGGAGCTGAGAGGCAAGAGAGAAGGCTGTCTTAGTACCTCTTTCTTCAGTCATCAAATCCTCCATCTCTTTACCCTCTGCCAAGTCCCTTTCCTCAGTGTCAGATCTCTGGCAGCTGCAGAAGCTTTATTGGGCAACTAGTCAGATGGAAACAGTGAAGGAGGCAAGAAATGAGTACATCATCTAACACTTTCAGAAATGTTCTAAGTCTGGAGAAATATACACATGCTTCTCCTTCAGTCCTCTCTAAACTCTGGAGCTTAGATATGGTACACATCCAGATCCTGCATTAAACTTGTGCCCTCCCCCTTCCCCCCGGGCGGGTGAATATTTTCCATGATGGCTGCCAGGTTTCTTGTTCTGATTTTTTTAAAATTAATATTCTGAGGGACTAGAGAGGTTGCTGATGGCTACCGATTTATTCTCCAGATACAACTATATCTAATTAAATAAATACTGAGCTAATTAAATAGTTAATAGTAAAAGAACCCACTGGATTTTTTTCACATATTTATATATTATTTATTGTTTTATCATAAAAAATAAAATACAAAACAAAACAAAATGAAACAAAACAAAAGCAAACATTCAACACTAACAATAACAAAAAATTAAAAAATAGTATACAAAAAAAAAAAAAAAGGAAAAAGTGACCAAATCTAACATTTAACATGTAGGATCCACCCTGGCTGGGTGCTGAAAAAAAAGAGAAAGCAATAAATCCTCCTCCCCTTTTGCAAATACATACATACATACATATATAAAAGAAAAAAAAGTCAACAGGTTAAGCCAAACATTACACTAATCTTCAAATCCCTCTGTTAACCATCTGTTGTTGTACTTAGCGCGTAGAAAGTCCACAAATGGTTTCTAGTCTCTTATAAAGCTGCCTAGTCCATTATCTCTAATCAAAGGAGTTAATTTCACCATCTCTACTAATTTACTCAATTTCAAAATCCATTCTTCAACAGTCGGCATCCCTTTTTCTTTTCAGTGTTTGGCAAGTACAATCTTCACAGCCGTCACCATGTGTAGGAATAGCACCCCAAATTGTTTTTCAGTTGGCTTTTTCCATATACCTAAAAGAAAAGTTTCAGGTTTCATTAATATTTTATCTTAAATATTTTTTGCTTTGTCATTGTTAATGTTTATCCAGTATGAATCCACTGGATTTCTAACACCGTTTAGCATGTTTTGGCTCAGGAACAAGGTTTTGTCTCAAAGAAATCCAATTGTCAAGGTTCCGATAGACAAGACCAAATAAATCAGAACTCCAAGGCTTGAGATTTCTTCAAAAACATGTTTATTGGTTACATAGTATCGGCATGGTCAAAAGTGAAACCAAGTCTGAAATTCCCTTCAGAAGTAACAATATTACAAAGTTGAAATTCCCACCCCAGAGCTATGCAATCAGCTACATTTCCCAATAGAAGAGTTTCATGGGCTTTCTAACTAAAAGCTTAAGCTAACTGACAGAAATGACCTTGGTTCCCACGGGACAGTAGAAATCCTCCATCCCTCTCCCAATCCTATGGCAACTTAGAATGAAGGAAATGGCTGCAGACAGGTTTGTTGTAAAGTTGACACCAATATTTTTGGACCAGTGGGCACATTGGGAAATTTGAAAGCATGCCATGGGTCTCTCATAATGAAGGGATCTGTCTGTTTCCAAAATGGCATTTAAAATAGATATTATGGGTACAAAGTGGGTAATGATAGAACCATTTATTCTAAAAGGCAAAGTAGTAAGGGTACTCTGCTCATCCCTTCTATCACTCCAAGAGGTTGATACATTTTCAGCTAAAGCACTGAGGCTCCACCATCTACCACTGCTGTTTTCTAATATGGGCTCTAGAAATATCCCCTATCCTGTCCATTTCTCATACATTATTTTAAGAGAAATCAGAAAAAAAGTTAAAACCAAATAGAGTTTGTAGCCCTGCAGGTACCATGGCAACTTTAATAGGTACATTGGAACCCATGAGTGCCAGTTGGCCTATTTCTGCTTAAGAAGAACTGTACATAAAGTATCAGAAATCCAAACAAAATATAAAATTGATTTCTGACAAGTCTTTGGTTTAGCTTTCACTTGACCTGAACTACACATTGAAATGCGAAAAAGCAATTTCCTAGCTTCAGTTCTTGTGGAATAATTTTGTTTGATCAAATAGGAGTAAAAAGATGAAATTAAATTAGGCAATATCTTATGTTCAGATCCTTTTTAAGAAGGATATAAGAGGATTGGTGTTGCTAGAGAGATCATAAGCTTTATCTTGTGGAAAGCTCATTTGATAACATATATTACGACATCAAAATAGTAGAACTATAAGTGTCTTCATGCAGAAATATTTGCAGCCATCTGGTTCAGAATTTTCTTCCATGAGATTTATTTTAATTGATATAAAACAAAATACAGTGCCACTAGAGGACAGCAGTTAGTTTTCATTTTTGGAAAGTCACATTCATGTTTTGGGGGTTTTTTTGCCAACAAATGACAACATACTTTAAATGCTTTACACATATACCTAAGCCTCAGTGCCCGGTTTATACATTGCACTCAGCTTGACAGCAAACATGCTGGCTTGCAACTGATGCAAGCTTTATTTGCTGGGGTGTAACTAGAAAATTTAGCCTAGCATAGCTAAATCTGATTTTGAACCCACAAGCAATTAGAGAATGAAGTCATGATGTGTTTTAGTTTTAGTGTCTGATTTCTTCCAAGTAGATTAAATTGGAATGCTGCATTCAGCCATTATGCCTAGCTTGGTAAGCATGAAACAGCATTTGTTAACCATTGTTGTGCCTAAATAACAACAACAAAAATATTTGTTGGTATAGAAGTGAGTAGCATGAGAATTTTTTTAAAAATGCTATGTTCTTAATCTCAAAAGAAGCAGAGGGTGATAAAGAGTGTATAAATTATTTCTCACACTGATAAAAAAAGACTAGCGGCTACCAAAACAATGAGTAGATGCAGACTATCCTTTCACTACAAGAAAAAAAAATCTAATTTTGGTAATGAAAATGTGGTAGGTAACCGATGAGCTTTGCAGTAATCAGCTACCTATATAATGGTGTGTCATACTGCCATCTAAAGTAAGATTCTCTTTGGAATTCTCTTATTCTTCCTTTAAATAAGGCTATTAATCAAAGCGTTTAGATTAGACATGATTACAAAGAAGGAAATCTGGCAGTCAGCAAGATTCCATGACCATTGGTTAGATGTATTCAAGGATACCACTCAGTCTGATTAAGTCTTTTAGAACATTAATGGATAAACTGTCTATAATGAATGTAGCTGTGGCCTGAGGGATTAATAAATTTTAAAGCTGTGTGGAGTTCAATTCCCAGAATTCTCTAGCCGGCATGCTGGAAGTTGAGGTTTGCACATCTTAAAGTTATGAAGGTTAAGAAACATTGTTTAGGGCATTAAAATTTCTTTAATTCTTAGGGTGGGATCTCTACAGAATAACCTCTACATTGGGTTATATAGATAAAAACAACCTAGTTTAGATTTTCACGTAATAATATTTGTGAGGTTGTTAGTGGAAGCACACGGTTGCCGTTTATTGGAATGAACAATTATACAATGATATTTATGCATGTTTTACATATTACAAAATAATAAGCACAGCTTTTGAGAGATTTTGAGCATGAAGCAGAGGATCTTCATCCATTCCTTAAATTCCAAATTTACTGTTCTTTGCTTGGAGAATGGAGAATCATACTGTATATGTTCTTCTAAATTTTGTGTGCCACAAAATGCTCCTTGTCTCTTTGGCTTACAGTTTGAGTAGATATGTTTGTGAATATACCACAAATATAGTCATTAAATAGTACATTTTCTAAAGAAAACCTAACAAGCATTTGCTATTCACAAGACTAACAGAACAATTGATGCTGTGGTTGGGTGATAGCAATAGGGTTCATTGATTTCCAAATATCAAATTTCATTGATCAGAGAAAAGAAGAATGTTGTCCTAGCATAGCTGACTCAGGAATTCTGGGAGTGAAGTCCATGAGTCATAAAAGAGCCAAGGTTGCCTACCCATAGCCTAGGCCTTGGTGATGCTCAGGGATAGGAAAAGAATGATTTAGTACCTCGTTCATTTCTTTTTTCTCTGAAAAAACCCACAGATTTAACAAGGCATCTCAACTATGTTCTGTCTGCCTGCAATGATCCAGGATCTTGGTATTATGAATAAGTTGAGTCTTGGTGCACTGCAGTTTATTGCTCTGCTTTGCTTCTGCTAAATAAACCATATAACTTACCATGATTTTTGATTCCAAGGTCTTGAATTGTTGCATCCTTTTAATAGCCAGAATAGGAATCTTCATTCTTGGCTGAAAAGCCTGACTTGTTTGGCAGGAACAATTTTTGTTCTTTTGGTTGGTTTAAATCAAGGATTTTCAACCTTGATTGAAAATGAATTCTGGGAGTTGAAGTCCAAAGTCTTAAAGTTGCCAAGATTGGACACCTTTGTTTACATCAATGTGCAATCTTTTTTCTGTCATGCCCTTTGTTTTCTCAGGGGCTATGAAATGGGAGCTCATAAATGGGATTAAGGAGATTTGAAGGTGGAACTAGAGGTAGAATTGGGCAAGATGGTCTTTTTTTTTTTCCCCTTCAGCAAGGAGGCTGAAGGGGAGAACCAGTTATTCCTGAGATGTAAACTGATTTCTAGTATACATGTTTTAAAATCAGACCAATGGATGGCCTTCAGTAGAGCATATTCTTGGTAATGGCGAATTCAGATGGGAGAAAATGAACAAAATGCACTGACGCTACTCGTTTAACATGTAGAGGAACAGGCAGAATTTTTAAAACAAAACAAACCCAAAATTAAAATGGTGTCAGCTGAGATTGCATCAGGCTTTGTGGTATCCTCCATCCTTCAATTCTTTTTTGCAAGAAGAGCCTGACTGTGAAGCTCCCATTTGCACCTCCCAGAAATGCTGGGAAGAAGGTGGTCCTTGAGTTACAACCATTTGTTAGTGACTGTTTGAAGTTACAACAGCACTGCAAAAAATGACTTATGACCGTTTTTCACATTTATGACCATTGCATCATCCCTATGGTCATGTGATTAAAATTCGGATGCTTGGAAACTGGCATGTATTTATGATGGGTTGCAGTGTCTCAGTCATCTGATCACCTTTTGCGGCCTTATGACAAGCAAAGTCAACCGGGAAGCCAGATTCGCTAACAACCAGGTTACTAACTTAACAACTGCAGTGATTCACTTAACAACTGTGGCAGGAAAGGGCGTAAAATGAGGCAAAACACACCTAATGACTGTGTCAATTTTGGGCTCAGTTATGATCATAAGTTGAAGACTGCTTGTAATTACTTTCTGGAAAGCTCGGATTTGAAGAAAAAAATTGCTCTTCTCCCCCCCCCCCGTTACATAGATACAAAGAAGGTGGTGAAGCTCTCCTCGTTTTGCTTCCTTCAGAGGAAAATGGCATGATTCAGCAGCTGTCACAGAAAAAAGTTCCTGTCAGCAATATCAAGTAAGTTCTTTTCCATTTTATATATAACTTAGTTATGCGTTTGAAACCAAAAGTGATTTCTTTCCTGTGAGACCGGGTTTTTTTCTTCATAAAAAAGATTTTTAAACTTAAAAATGATGCAGAGCACAATGAGAGTATCCATTGGCAACACATTCCATCATTTATTTTTACAAATAATATGAACATTTCAGATCATCTTATTTCCTGGGAAAGCAAATAGAGAAAATGGTCTTCCATTATTTCAAATTTTTGGAGAAATGGAGGTCTGTAAATACAGCCTGACCTTTCTGTGCAATTTTACCTTTTTTCCAAGCAAAATGATGTGATCTGCCAACACTTAATCTGTTTAGCAAAGATAGAGCTGAGACAGTGAACTCTGTCAGTAGCAAAATTACATGAAATGTGAGATGATTTGGACACTGTGTGGAAGGTGTATATGGCGTGTGTAACATTAACATCAGTAATATATTTTTCTTTTTTAAAATTGGTACCATTAGCCAAAGAAATAAAATTGGAGAGAAAAAAATGGCCTCTGCCACTATTAACTCCTGCCAAACACCCACATATGCTTTTAAAATCTATTATTGAAATATAATACTTTTTGAAATAAATATACTCCAATCTTTGAAAAATTGAACATTTGGTAATAGTGGCTGTAGTACACAGTTCCTATACTGCTATATTAAATGCTCTCCTGAAATAGGGCTGTGTTAAATTTATAGCCTTTTTCCTCCAAGCAAAGCTCAGTTGATAGCACCAGTAGTCTCCTGCTTTACTTCTAATGACATCAGTTTTATACCTTCATGCATACAAAACTAATTGCCATTTGCTACCTAATATCCAGTAGCTCAATATGCATAAAAATTAGTTCATATGCTGCACTGACTTAGCTGTTCACTTCTGATAATGCTGTTTACAGTGCTTTAAATCATGGATGATAAAGTGGGAGTGCAGTGAAGCTTGCAGATTCTTGTAAATGGCTCCTTTTTGTCTTCTTAAAGGAATTTAATTATTTTCAAAAGCCATTTAAATAACAGAGCTGTGGCTTGTTATGCTTATTTTTGCCGCGGAACTAATCCAGGATTGTTTGAATACATAAGAATATTCTTTCCTAAGTCTGGCTAAAGCCATCTTCTCTTCAAAGGTTGTAAATGATAAAAAAGAGCTAGTGGGGTAAATATATAATATTCACATTCTAAAAGTGAGAGAAGAGAAAGATAAGGGAATTGTATGGCATCTTTTTGAGATGAATTGTTAAGGTTGGGGAGTTGGCTTGGATGCAAGGCTTTTATAAAACTTGATGTGTCCATCTTGGTCTTGCTGATCAGTTGCTGGTTGCACTGGATTTTGGTTTTAGACTTTGAATATGGATGTGAGATAGAACATGTTTAGGAAATTACATAGTGGAGTATAAGGAGAGACTATTTACAATGCAAGAAAGTGAGGACCGAGGGAGGAATTGGGGGTAAGACAAGAGGCTTAAATTCTCCAGCTGCTTAAGTAAATACATTTCTGAGGTTAAAAAGTAAAGAATCAGGCACTTCTTCTCTTTGTAGTCTAAGTCAGAGGTTCCCAACCTTTTGGGCACCAGGGACCGGTTCCGTGGAGAAAGGTTTTCCTATGGACCGGCAGGTGCGTGGTTTTGTGTGCTGCCTGCATCCCGTGGATGGGGCTTTGCTTGTTTGTGTGGATCAGTTGCTGGCTGATCCGTGGCCTGGTACCGGTCCACAGACCGGAGGTTGGGGACCCCTGGTCTAAGTTGCTTGTGTGTCTTGGATTTTTAAAATATAATAATCCAAACAAATCAAACCTTTTGGTATATCTGCTTGAAACTTTACTTTTTAAAAGGTGGATAATCTCAAAATGCTGATGCTGGATGAATGGATCCTTATGTTAAGATTTTTTACATAGTTCCTGAAGGATTTTTGTCCAAGGAATGTCAGACCTCCTAGAAACTAGAGAGAAGCTGCAGTTGCTCAAAATAATTACATGTAGTCCTCAACCTACAACAGTTCATTTGATGACCATTCAAAATTACAGTGGCACTGAAAAAAGTGACTTGTGACCATTTTTCATACTTATGACCATTGTAGCAGCCTTATGGTCGTGTGATTTACATTCAGATGCTTGACAACTAGTTCATATTTATGACGGTTGCAGTGTTCCGGGATCACGTGATCACTACCTTCTGGAAAACAGTGGGAAAGCCAAATTCACTTAACGGTGTTACTAGTTTGCAGTGATTCATTTAACAAATGTGGCAAAGAAAAGATGTAAAATGGGGCAAAACTAACTTAATACATTTCTCACTTAGCAGCATAAATTTTGGGCTCAATTGTGGTCCTAAGTCGAGAACTCCCTGTACTATTAAAAAATAAGGTGGCTGCTTCCCTATCTTAGAAATCTTCATTCCATATTCTTTAGTGCTCTATACACACATAAAGAATTGTCATTTGAATGATTTAGTATGTTTGTTTTTGGCACAGATTCTATAAAGTCATCTAGAACCAGTTTTTTGTTTGCAAGTGAACGCTTGCTTTGGGTCACTGAAATGGCAAAAAGCAAGTTTAACTTGGAATAGGCTGCCAGCTAGAAATTCTGTTGAAGCAAATATTATTTATAAGGCTATAGTGCGGCATTGTGTTGTTGAACTGACTTATCCCCTGATTCTTTGATGGAGAACCACTTTCCATTTGTGTGTGCATAGTTATGTTTGTGAATTTGGAGTTCTGTTGAGATTTTTCAGGTTTAGAAACATTCTAGTGAAACTATTTTTAACCGCTTAAAAGAAAAATTCTCTTATGAGAAACCTCAGTATGAAAAATTGCTGTTAAATATTCAGCTCTTTCCTTCATAGGAGCTTAGTCTTTTATCTTTTTATAAGTAGAAGAAGATATATAATGTTAATTCTGTGGTTTGATCTTGGAAGAATGATTTTCTCTTCCAGTTCAAATTGTTTTCTGGGTAAAAAGACGGAGTTGCAGCTTTTGTTGTTTCCATTTATTAATTTTAAGAGAACAGTCTGCATGGCTGATATGATTTCAACTGTATATTGTTCACAGTAGTTTTTATTCCTCAGATGAAGAAGTATTTCTTCTATGAACAGGAGATAAGTCTTTGTAGGCCTTTTGGAGAAGATAGGAGAACATTTCTGTGGTTTACCTGTTTTCTCTATGATTCTCCACTCTTCCAGAATCAATCCTGAGAAACTTTTAGATGTCCAGAAGAAACTGCAGTCCTTACTGGCTCAGGATCAAGATTTGAAAGAACGTGCACAACGGGTAAGGGCACAATGGCTAGTCCACTGATACGTAATTGGCATGATCGTAGAATCTCTTTTTTTAGGTATATAAGAAATATTAATCTTGAATAAGATTTTTTGGTTTTATGGGTTATAGGAGATCTGAAAGGACATACAGTATTTATTTTTCAGCTGCCTGTTCTTTGACTAAAGTAAAAAGGTATCAGAAATTAATTGAAATTAATCAGCAGTTCATTTATTAAATTTATTTATTAAGGAAATTTATATTGTTGCCCAGCTCACACATAGGGGACTCCAGGGAGCTCCCAACATTAAAAAAATCACAACATAAACATAAACCCATTAAAAAACCCAACCCCCAGTATAATTCTTAGACAATTGCTGTCCTCAGACTTAATACTCTAAAAGGCACTACATACAAGGAAAGGATCTGGACAGGGAAGATAGTAGGCAAATGAGATGATGGTAGTTGGTTCAAATGGATGAAAACATACATACCTTTCAGCAGTGGTGGGATTCATTGCAATTCAAGGTGTTGGTTATCACCTTTAAAGCCCTTCATGGCATAGGACCAGGTTACTTACAGGACCGCATACTGCCGCACAGTTCCCAGAGACCGGTGAGGTCCCACAGATTGGGCCTCCTTCAGGTCCCGTCGGCCAGACAATGTCGGCTGGTGGGCCCTCGGGGAAGGGCCTTTTCTGTGGTGACTCCGACCTGGTGGAATCAACTTCCCCCCGAGATTCGAACTACTGCCACCCTGCCGGCCTTTAAGAAAGCCATTAAAACTCTCCTGTTCCGGCAGGCCTGGGGCTGATGTCCCCGGGGTGGGTGGGGGTGGGATATGATCGGACACGCTGTATGAATGTATTTATTTTATTGTTTTTTTGTCATATTATTGTTTTAAATTTTGTACGCCGCCCTGAGTCCCTTGGGATTGGGCGGCATATAAATTTTAGAAATAAATAAAATAAAATAAACAGGAAAGGTATGCTCTGGGTCCCTTCTGCTAGAGAATGTCACCTGGCAGGTACCCAGAGGAGAGCCTTTTCTTGCAGCACTCATCATCTGGGACATCACTTCCCTGAATAATAGACTCTACTAGCTTTAAAAACCTGGCTTGTTGCTGTGCTTGGGTTCACATTAAATTAAAAGAAAAAATATTTTTGTTCCCTGAAAAGAATGTATGAACTGATTGAAAAGAAAGAGTAGTAGATTATATAAAGGGAAAATTGGTCTTCTTGAGCTCTGAAGCTTAGAAAAAATGGCTAAGATTTGGAGAATGTATGTTATGATTAAAAAAAACCTCTTCCTGAGACATATGAAAGTATTTAATAATAATAATAGTAGTAAAGTTGGAAGGGACCTTGGAGGTCATCTAGTCCAACCTCCTGCTCAGGCAGGAACCCTACACCATTTCGGACAAATGGCTGTCCAGTCTCTTCTTAAAAACTTCCAGTGTTGGAGCATTTACTGCTTCTGGAGGCAGGCTGTTCCACTGATTAATTGTTCTCACTGTCAGGAAGTTTCTCCTTAGTTCTAGGTTGCTTCTCTCCTTGATTAGTTTCCACCCGTTGCTTCTTGTCCTGCCTTCAGGTGCTTTGGAAAATAGCTTAATTCCCTCTTCTTTATGGCAGCCCCTGAGATATTGGAATATGCTATCATGTCCCCCCTTGTCCTTCTCTTCGTTAAACTAGACATACCCAATTCTCGCAACCGTTCCTTATATGTTTTAGCCTCCAGTCCCCTAATCATCTTTGTTGCTCTTCTCTGTACTCTTTCTAGAGTCTCAACATCTTTTTTACATCGTGGTGACCAAAACTGGATGCAGTATTCCAAGTGTGGCCTTACCAAGGCATTGTAGAGTGGTATTAATACTTCACGTGATTTTGATTCTGTCCCTCTGTTAATGCAGCCTAGCACTGTGTTGGCCTTTTTGGCAGCTGCAACACACTGCTGGCTCATAATTTAAGAATTAAAAGGACAGGATTTGTTTCTTTTTTCCCCACTCACTCTACCTTTTACCAATAAATGTTCACATCTTTGCATAGCATGTCAAAACTTGAGGCTTCTACGCATACAGAGATATAGGGAGCTACTTTATTTGATGGCATCTGTTGCTCCATTGTAGCTTGGTACTGTTAATTGTGATTGGCAATGAATCGTAACCTCCAGAAGTGAAGCACATTTCATATCATCTTCTATCTTATTCTTTTAGCCTAGTAAAAGTTGGTCTTGGGGAAAGAGTAGAAGACCTTTCCTTTCTTTCTCCTGAAACTCATGCTGTGATATAAGCAGGTTTTCCTTGAGTCAGACTAGGCTCCTCATGATTTGCATGAACAAATTCATGTTGTTTTCTTGGAAGAGGTTTTCCACTGTCTTTTTCCTTGTTGTTTGTTTGTTTGTTTTGACTTTCTGGTTGACTTTATCATCCTGGAATTTCCTGCTGATCTCCATCTAACCTGGACAAATTCCATTTAACTTTTTCAGGCTAAATAAAACTAGCCTAGGACAGCCACCTGCTGTGACTTTTATGTGGTTCACCTTTGAGCTGCAAGTGAGGATCATACAGCAAATTGATTACCTCCTATGTTATTATTAGTTCAGAAAAGATCCACATTAAAATGGTACAGTTCACTTTGCATTTGTTTTTGGTGTAGCAAAAACATGCATTTGGCATCATATACCCATATATACTGCATATCCATAGATATTGAGAATCATTACTTTCCAATTCATGAATAATTCTGATGTAGAATGTCACAAAGTTCAAATCTTTCTTTAAATTAATACATTTGAGTAAAAATGAAAATTATTGAGATATAGAAGATAGAATATTGAATATCCCTGAAAAAAGTGTGAAATTATACCATGTTTTGGTCATCATGTGTGTAATTACTTTTTTCAACTAAGCTTACTTTACTAAATAAAATGAAGTAGAATCATGTAGAAAATTTAGTCACAGAATCCCTTACTTAGTTCAGGAATCCAAATTAATGCATTCCAAACAAATGGCTGTGTAGTCCGTACTTGAACATATTCAATGACTTGTATTAATACGGAAACAGCTACTGTTCCAAGATCTCTTTTGCAAGTGCTATTAACAAGCCAGATTCTTCCCACTCTACACCTGTGTTTTTGATTTTCATAACTAAAGCTGGCAAACATATCCAACAGGAAAACTCCTGTTTTCCTCACAACAATCCTGTGAAGTGTGTTGGGCTGAGGGAGAGTGACTGGTCCAAGGCCACTCAGCTGGCTTTCGTGGCTAAGGCAGAACTAGAACTCATAAGCTCCAGGTTTCTAGCCTGGTGCCTTAACCACTAGTCTGAAGTGGTCTTCATGATATTTATTTCATCTCTCATTCCGCTTCTGTGAAGAGTCTTGGATACATAGTCTTTGAGCTTGCTATATGCACATTTAATTATTATTCAATCCAAATCACTTTTAAGTGGCTTGCTGATCAGTATGGAATGGGTAGCCTGTAAAATGCATTGCAGGAATTAGAATTTGATTTATTCCCACAATCCATTTGGAAAGCTGATTTAAAAAAAGGACAAGATTCATCTGACAAGACTTATTCTTCAAAAATGTATGCTGATATTTAGTAATAATCATTACTTTTAACACATTTAAAATTAAGTTTTAAGATTCACTCCAGAATATTTCCAGGTATTAATGACAGATTGGTCTATAGCAGCGGTCCCCAACCTTTCTGGTATCAGGGTTCAGTTTCAGAACAAAATTGTATTTCACGGACTGGGAGCGGGAGGGGGGGATGGTTTGTGTGCAACCTAGATCCTGCTCATGGGCACATGAAGCTTCACTTTCTCACCTGCTGCTTGCCCAGCCCAGTTCCTAACAAACCATGGACTGATACCAGTCCGTGGCCCTGGAATTGGGAACCATGATCTATAGTTTCTGAAAACCTTGTTTTTTCTCTTTTTTAAGATAGAAACAAAATTTCCTCTCCTTCAGTAACCTGGCACTTCATATCTCGAAGATTTTTCACAGATAATATATAAATCTTTGGTCAATCTATCTGCTTAGTTTCTGCAACATCCTAGGCTGCAATTTATCTTGTCTGAAGATTTAAATTCACTCAGACTAAGCAGATATTCCTGTGTCATATTTCCATCAGTCTCAAGCTTCAAGATCTTCATTCTGCCCTTCACACTTTATTTTTTTTTTGTTGGAAGAGACTGAATCAAAATAGGTGAATAGCTTTGCCTCAATAGTAGCAAACAACGCTAGTTGAATTCATCTCAACCTGGACACCAACATTGGGACAGTCAAAAGGGAAGTATATTTATATAGATTCTTTTTAATTTGTAGAATCTTCATGATAGAAACAGACATGTGCAGAAATGAGGGCCACAGTCTGTTTGCTTGATCTAAATCAGGGGTTCTCAACCTTGGCAACTTTAAGATTTGTGGACTTCAACTCCCAGAATTCCTCAGCCAGCTTTGCTGGCTGAGGAATTCTGGGAGTTGAAGTCCACAAGTCTTAAAGTTGCCAAGGTTGAGAACCCCTGATCTAAATCTTTCCTGGCTAGTTAAATTAACTAAATCAAACTGGTCCTATGATTATAAGAGGTGACTAATGCCTTTTTGAGTGATGGATGTTTCCCAATTGCTTAAAGGAAGCAGTCATATGAGCTTTATTGAAAAAAAAAACTATGAACATGAAAGAACCTTGTAATTAAAGGGAGTCTTTAATCTTCCATGTCTAGGAATATGATTGAAGAAGTTGTAGTCTTGTACTTGCAGATTGGGATCCCTTTTAATTGGGGATTCACCCAGGATATAGTAGTGAGATTACATTAGTTGTCTTTGTAGAGATCCTGCTAGTTTCATTGGATTGCTTGGCACATACAAATAATAAGTTTTATAATTTACATTTTAATTGATGTACTAGACTGTCTATCCCACTTTCAGTCTTTCAAAGTAGTCCAACCAAGAAGCATACCCAAAAGTACTGTTCTAAGTTTATTGTAAGGTTACATTAACAATATCTTACAAGTCTGAAAAATGCACTCATCCCCCAATTGCCTTTATAGCCCAAGGAACTAGGGAGCATCCCTTCTGAGGTGTTTGTACATCCCCATTTCTTCTACAGGCTAAGCTGCCACTTAATTCACCACTATGCTGTCTGCAACTGTTCTCCCATCTCCCAATTCTACATCCCGTAACATTAACACAACCAATGGCCTGACAGTACTACTGGAATTGATTTCACCACACTTGAAAGGCATCATATTGGGGAAGGTGACAACAGCACTGTTCTCTAATGATGCTATAATTCTGCCTTCAGGTATAATGATAGCAAACTGGGAAAATGAAGTGACAGTGGTAGTTTAGATACAGAAACATCAAACAGAGTTTTGGACATGTAAAATAGTAACATCTTTGAAAGCAATTTTGTCTTTGAAACAGTCAGATTGTTCACTGGATTAGAAGCCCTAACTTTATGGCTTCTAGAAAGAGTACAGAGAAGAGCAACAAGGATGATCAGGGAACTGGAGGCTAAAACATATAAGGAATGAAGAGAAGGACGAGAGGTGACACGATAGCAGTGTTCCAATATCTCAGGGGTTGCCACAAAGAGGGAGTCAGGCTATTCTCCAGAGCTCCTGAAGGCAGGATAAGAAGCAACGGGTGGAAACTAATCAAGGAGAGAAGCAACCTAGAACTTTTCTGACAGTTAGAACAATTAATCAGTAGACCAACCTGCCTCCAGAAGCTGTGAATGCTCCAACACTGGAAGTTTTTAAGAAGAGACTGGACAGCCATTTGTCTGAAATGTTATAGGGTTTCCTGCCTGAGCAGGGGGTTGGACTCGATGACCTCCAAGGTCCCTTCCAACTTTATTGTTGTTATTGTTGTTGTAATTGAATAAGAGGAGCAGGTTCTTTCTTCAGAAGAGTCTTTCTGAGAACTGTTTTCAGGCTTGCATAGTTGTATTAGTTGGCAGTAAAATATTGTTGATTTAGTACCTGAGTTAGAATTACCTTGCCAGAAAGAGATAGACAAGACTTACTGAATGAAAAAAAATACAATAAGCTTCTTTCCTCCCCATTTTATCAATGCCTTCTAAAGCAGCCTTTTAAAAGAAGAATACAATGGAATGGAGGGGAATAATTTTGGAACTTCAGGATATTGATGAGACAAGGTGAGACAAGGGCTTTTGTTGTAGTTGACAGATCTAGTGATAGGTCTGCCCAGTAAATCCAGTTTTATTGCTATATTTAAAGCCATTCTTTTATTGCTGTGTGATGCTGAAATTACAGTCTGTTCTTCCTTTTTGTTGAATAAGATTGCAGTATCTCTCCGAAAGTGTGAATAGAAGCTAAATAACTTTTGACAGTCTTCACCTGCCTAGAGTTTTCTTGGGTTTCCAGGATCTTTTAGGATAACCTTGCCCAATCTAATTACTTCCTGATGTGGAGATTTCACATCCAAAATAACCCTAAATTTGCAGGTCAGCTTCCTATCTTAATATTAGAAATAAGAGATGCTTTTAGACTGACATTATATGCAAGTATAGTTAACTGGAGTTTAGAATTGGAATTAGAATTGGGTAAAAGATTCTCTATACTAAATATTGGTGTGAAAATTCTCATAACTAATAGGAGGTTAAAGGATTGCAAGAGGAGGAGAGGAAATATCTATAATTTTGTTCCCATTTTTTAACTGATTAAAAGACAGTTGATCCATTACATCTGCAGCACTCTAAGGAGAAAACTATTATTATTTTCAATTCATATAGTTCTGTATGTGAATATTGTTATATTTAGTGCCTCTTCCAAATGGCTGTGCTTTTATATTAAAATTACCATATATCCAGCATTTTCCTATCAAACGCTGCAGCTCTGTAAGAGATATTACAGTGGAATAGATAAAATGAATTTTGAATTCAGTCAAGCTATATCACTGTGACTTGTAATTTTCGCAAGCAGATTAAACGTCTGTATTATTGTGGTATTCCTGTTTCAGAAAGTGTTAAATTTCCCACCCTATCAACTATAAAGGTTACTTATTGTTTAATGGTTATGTAGCATGTAGTTTATAATTTTTACTGAACAGAATACTTAAAATCAGCAGTAATAATATTATATTACTATACAGATAGTCCTTGACCTATGATCACAATCGAGATTAGAATTTCCAAAGCTAGAGAAGGTGGTTGTTAAGTGAATTATGCCTCATTTAGGGCTGCAGATTTCCAATTGCCCTTTTAGCTGAAATACATAACTTTTTAGTTTCTGAATTTCCTGTCAGAATTGAACAAGGGGCCACCTGCACAACCATGTTCATAAGATCTCATGAAAAATGACTGGTGGGAATCATCAAAACATTTTACTGTAGTCATCTGGAATAAGGTGCTTATGATGGACAAAAAGTGCAAAAGACAGTGAGGTACTGCAGATGGCTCTGTTCAGTCTTTTGAGTGATACTAAACAATGTAATGAATTGATAATAAGTCTTCATTTAAGGTTTGCTGTTAGCAGAAGAATGAATGAGAATTTCCTATGTGGGCTATATAAATTTCCTATGTGGGCCAAATAAAAATTACTGAATAGTGTTGCGGAAACATAAAACAGTATGGTTAGAATTATACACTTGAGTTACCAGCCAAATGAAAGGGCATGCTGATAGCAGCAGGTTACTCAGTTTTATAGAAATGATTTTCCAGTGTTTTATTGCAGCCTGGAAACCATGAAACCCAAGCAAAACCTGTTACTGTTTTTTTGTTGTTGCTGATGCTTCTTTTAAGGGCAAAAATATTGTGTATTATAGTTTCTCTCAATAGCTTAAGATGATTTCCAAGGACAGTCAAATGCCTTCAATTTTAAGAAATAATAAAAAAGAATGAAGGTTGTTTTGAAAGTCAAGTGAAGAAAACCCAAAAAATATCCACTGGATGGAATTGGGCAGAGATGCCACCAAAAATGTGAATATGCACTTAATATAAGCCAGTGATGGCGAACCTTTTAGAGACTGAGTGCCCAAACTGCAACCCAAAACCCCTTATGCATCGTTGAGTGCCAGGTGGATGTGGCCCATTGGCTGGGTGTTACTAATTGGATGGGCATGGACAATTGGGTGGGCGTGGCTGCGGTGGTAATGGCAGACTGGGTGGGACTAAAAAGTTCAATCAATCAATTCCAACTTTGCAAGATCTTTTTTTTCCTGCGAGAAGTTGAAATTGACTGATTGAACCTTTTTTTTTTTTTGCACATGGCGGCGGAGGCCTAAAGCGAAAAAGTTTTATAAAACCCAGCTGAAGGCCTAGGACTGTGGCGACGGTGCGCGTGCCCACGGAGAAGGCTCTGAGTGCCGCCTCTGGCACCCGTGCCATAGGTTCGCCACCACTGATATAAGCACTACCAAAATATTAAAAATGCATATACAATAGTAACCTATTCATGCATAAAGTTTAATCATAAGAACTTAGTGATACTGAAGAAGGAAGGCTGTGAATTATACTTGGTTTTTGAACAATGTGCGGGGTTTATACTTCAAAAATTATCCAGAACAAAACCAAAACAAGATAGTTCTCTCATAATGATGGTGATTGGGATCAGAATTTTCATCATTAAGCAATACAGTTGTAAAGCACAACATCATATGACCAAGTGCTTATTGACAGCAGTTCTGGCAATTCCTGGTTACTGTCCTTATGGAAAACACAGGTTGTTAATTAATTCTGTGATGGCAACTTTTGACTTTCTGCTGGCTTCCTCCTTTGACTTTTCTTGTGGGAAACTGGCAGAGAAAATAGCAAATTATGACGAAACCATAATGAAAAAGGGTATCTTGATTTTGAGTGTCATAAATATCAAAGAGGAGTTTATAAGCTACTGTACTCTTAAAGATAATTAGCTTAAGCTGTGCATCTGTTACAATTCTTTAATATGTTGAATCCTTTTATTCTGTGCTTTGAACAAGTTTTTTTCTTTTTTTCTTAGTGTTTTGTTTCTTACCTACGATCTGTCTATCTAATGAAGAACAAAGAAGTCTTTGATGTGTTAAAGTTATCCATTGCTGAATATGCCCTGTAAGTGCCATTAATTGTAGATGCTACATAAAAACTGTACATCCTTTTTTACAGATTTCTTTTGAACTGCGCAGATCAACATTGGTTCACTGATTAAAATTAGCAATGAAAATCAGTTTGTTAAAACTGGAGATTAGCCAAATAGAGCTAATGGAAATGAGGTGAAAAAGCAATAAATGAAACCTTAATCGTTTTGTGCTGGCTGTTAAAACCCAAAAACATGGGTGCCAATTTTTAATTTTTTTAAGGTGTCTTAGAAGTCCTCATTAGTTAGTCCTTGCTTCACGGGAGAGTTCTTTCCGTTCATGTGTAAGGTTTTAGATTTGGTTCTTGTATGTTCTTGGAAAACCGTTCCCTAAAGCTTTAAGAGCTATTGCCATTCAGTGATGATAATCCTGCACTATTTTATTTATTTATTTGCTTTTTATCTTGCCATCAGTTGCGATCAGCTGAATGTAGCATAGATCCACACTACATATACATAATTCCATTCATTTACAGCTTTTATCCTTCCTAATTTATTCTTATTTTCTAAGATCCCTCTCTAATACCCTGACTTCACTTGCACACCCCCCCCAAAACAAACCTTCTCCCAAAAAATTATAAATTGACACCAGGATCAACAGCAAATTTGCCATGTCTGACTGTCTGGTGTGTGCCTACCAGATGTCTGCTTACACACAGTCCTCCCTGTTTTATGACCATTCATTTTACAACCCTTGG